GTGTAACGACTTTCAAAGCTCTATGCATGCACGACGTTTATTATAGGGTGAACGCTTAATGCAAGTATTGGTCTTTTGTTACAGTAAAAAATTGCATCATTCAGATCACTTCATTGGCGACGACGGATTGCCTTGTTATCGTTCACTTGCATAACATGTGTCATGCAAGAATGTGCCCAAGATGACAAGTGCCTCGTCTCCCTCCCTTTTCACCATCCTCCTCAGAAATCGAGAGAGCGTGACATGTCTAATATCTCACCTCTGGGTTTTTCCTTTTCATACTCACGCCGATTACACGCATCCGTTGATTGCTGAAGATGCCTGAATAATGCAGGATCGTCCATAAAGTGTCAATGACAAATCACCACTTTTGAGTTCTTTTTTTTTTTACGCAAATCCAGGTTGAACAATTCGTATCGTTAAAAAAAAAAAAAAAAAGGCCACCGGAAACATAATCACCCGCGCGCTCCGGTTGTGATCACTTGTCATGTGCTACCACATAGAAACGACAGGAAAGTAGCCTATTCCCTCTATTATTGATATGTTCGAGGATCCATGTTTTACTTTTTCTTTTCTTTTCCTCCAGTCCATTATCACATTGGCAAGGGGTACATGCGAATCAATTCACTTTCAGGCGATATTTTTGTGTTAAACAAAGGTACCAGATGATCCTTGCATGTCCGAAAGTCGATTATCATTCTTGAATTGATGTCTACGCGGAGGATTTTTTTTAGATGAACAAACAAGTATACAGAATATCTCTTTTGCCAGAGGACGTGCATTTAATACTTATTAGAGTCATCAAGTGATTCATTTGCTTCAATGAAGTCTTGCGAAAGGGATAAACTTTCAAAAAGGAAGAAAGAAAGAAAGAAGTGAATCCTATTACGTGCTTCTATTATCAAGTCAACGAAACTCTCTGGGGAGACGAGTCTCTTTGGATTTTAATATTATTTGGTAGAAAATTGTTATGAGCAAATACGTTCGTTCAACTTTGCGTCCTTCCGTTAACGTGTTAACCCAGGAAAATTGTCGGTCAGTTGAGATCCGTAAATTTCTGGCGTTTATTTTTTTATTTATTTATTTTTTATTTTATTTTTTTTTTGACAAACATTAAATGTATGGCTTTTACTTGTTCTCTTTTTTTCTTTTTCAAAAATACTTTTTTTGTTTATTTTCTTTTTCAATAGAATTTTAAATTGGGTCACCAATTTATGCATTCGATACAGCCACAGATTTGATAAAAAGGTATTGAAGTCGCGAAAATGCGTTGGATTCATGACTCAAATTAATTAAATCACGGATCGAGAAATTCAAATTAACGAGGTACAGTATTTCCGATCAGTTACCCTCAGTATTACCACCATCGTCGTTTTGACAGCTTAAATAAAATCATTTCTAGGTTCTCAAGGGTGGTAACATCTCGGCGCATTTTTGCTAGTTGGAGAGTTGCGCCACACAAAGTAATCCATGTTTCGTGTCAAAAGTACGGATTCTCCTTCATGCGCTCAAAATTAACTCAGAGGTGTGTGTACGTATATGGCATGTGCAAGTGCTGATGTTCGTGTTTATGAGAATTCAATAAGGTGCAGTCACCAAGCCTAGGAAAATTATTATATTAGAGTAACAGGATGCACGAGAAATTGTTGTCACGAGGCATCTTCTAAGAAGTATCCCTCCACGAGGTTTCGGATGGTCGGATCGACAACTTTATTAACAATAACCCTTGAAATACCACGTAGCGCAAAATGAATGTTCGGTGAAACGCATATGGCACATTAAACAATTCCATCATTCGCACACAGTCGCATTGTATTCCTCTCACAGCTACCCTACTTGTGAAATCTTGATTTGTGCAGGTACTGAGTCTCTGGGTGCTTTCACGTCGGATGGTCGCCAATCGATGCATGCGCATACACCATTGAGTAACAAAAATGCACAATAAGAAAATCTCGAATTTACAATATATACTGTAAATAAGTGTGCATGTGTGATTTCTCTTGAGCTACTATTAATCGAACCAATTATCCCAGATAATTAAATGTCGCCATGCATCCGGATATTCAATTTTTTTCTCACAACTGGCAGAATAATCTTATCTTGGATAATTTTGACCATGAAAGTATCAACAGATCGAATTTTTCAATTTCATCGGCGACCGCTGCTACTGTTTGTTTGTGTAATGTTCACCAGTGTTGAAAAAAATTTCCTTAATTGGGTCCATTCAGTGACGACTGGTCATTGACAGTAAGAATGGTTTCGCAGAACTTTGTCATACCGATCAATACACATTTTTAATTAAACATTTCAAACACAAACATCACTTCTTTTTTTCATGATGAGGGTGATGGTAATGTGAAAGGTCGATTGTTGAGAATCTAGGGCATGCACGCACTGTACGTTTTCCCGCATGTCTTGAGTTACGATCAGATTTCTCGGCCTCTAATTTTTCCGGGCATGATGAGATCAAATGATCATCTTTTGTTAGCATGATCTCATTGTAACAAAGATCTTGATAAATTTTTAGGTGGCGCAATTACGGAATTCGTTTAAAACACCGTCTCAGCGAGCTGTGCGACTCGAGTTGTAGAATAAGGGAAATTTTTATCCTCCGTCACTTTGCGTATTTGATCTTTGCCCATAATCGATGCTCTTTGCTATTAGGAGTTAGAGTCTTGCGTCCGGTTACATGGAGTTATTAAATATTCGCTTTTTAGAGTAAAGACGGATTTTCTTTGCGATAGTATTATTATTAGCAATTATTATTATTATTATTATTATTATTATTATTAAATAAATAAATAAACAAAAAAATAAATAAATAAATAAATGAATGAATGAATGAAGAATAAAAATGGATAAATCAACTAAACAAGTAAATGAAAGACAAAAACGTTGGGAATATACAGTATGTAACATAAAAACCCATCCGAGCGAACACGGTGCGACAACCCGAAATGAAATTTGTGTGTCGATAACTTGCGCGTAGGACGGTCGCACGGAGCGCCCTACGCAAATTTGGGATCATTCACCCGAGATCCAAGGGGCCTCGATGCATGACACCCGCTCGTGTCGGAGGTCACGCGTGCATTTCCTTCGAATGTCGACTAGCATTTAGTTCATGTGCTTTGCAATCAGCAACGAAGAACGAAGAGATGTACTGTATTTTAAACCGTATCACCCAAACAAAAGGGAGCTTGTCAATTGATCATTGAGCACACGGAATAAAAGACAACCAGATGAGCGAGCGAGAGCAATTCTTGTGACGAACATTCTTCTTCTTGGATGACATCGACGTGCGTTTGCCACGAAGAAAGCTCCCACGTCACACCACCGGGTAAAAATGGCTCGACGATTAGGCGACGACTCCGAGTTTAATGACAACTTACATATCTTAGATTTCGACGACAGTGTCCCTTGAGATGTACAGTATGTGTGCATGAAATTTCCTTTGATCTCGATGATGGTGGACAAACAATCGCTGTAGGAAATAAATTGATATTATTCGATTGCTTGCTTTTGTTTACCACGACAAATCAATATTTCCTTTGTAGGGTTCCTTCTAAACTTCTTCTCTTCTTGACTCCAAATTGCAACAATCTTTATCGGAAGGACACCTTGTTTCGACTCACCTAACACCTTTGTGTTTTCTGTTTGGATAGCAAAGGGCCGTGATGCATTGTGTGTGTGATAAGGAAATGTATATTTATGATACACAAAAAAAACAAAAAAAAAATCGGCGGTTTTAACGGATACGTACTGTACGTACAGTATATTATGAAATTACCTCATATATAGCATTTCATACAAAATTTATCACCCTAAACCCACAATGCCATAGAAT